AAGAATTGGTGCTTTTGAATTATGGTATTGGAGGAGAATATTGAAAGTGCCAGGGGCTGCCAAAAGAACCAACAAATCTGTGTTGGAAGAAGTGCAGCCAGAGTGCTCCTTGGAGGCCACGACGGCCAAACTTCGCCTCTCATACTTCTGACATATTGTCAGCAGCGACCAATTGCTGGAGAAGGCTATCATGTTTGGTAAGGTGGAGGGTCAGAGAAAAATAGGAAGACCCCCTGCCCCAGCGAGATAGATTGGCAAAGTGGCAGCATCAATGGGCTCAAGTGTGGCAACAATTGTGAGACTGGCCCAGGACTGGGCAGTGAGTGTTGTTCATTCTGCTGTACATAAGGTCACTATGAGCTGGTACTGACTCGATGGCACCTAACAACAGCAACAATGGAATAAACGCTCAATACTCATTAGATAAGGACTAACATGATCTCCATTTGACAGACGAAGAAACTGAATCCTTGAGCATTTAAGGAACTTGCCCATGTTGTTACAGCACAGCAGCCTGGAGTTAAACCTGGTAGTCTAGCACGAGTCTGTCGTAAATTCCTCTCAGACTGACCACAATCAAAAACTAGTAAAGGTATAATCTCACAAGGATACAAAAAAGAGAGACAGATTTAAAATATCAACAAAATTTTAGAAGTTAAAAAGCAAACGAGAAAAAAAAAAAAAGCAAACGAATGAGTAGTAACTGACTTAGATGGCGAATACTGAACACAGACAGGAAGTCAATTCTCACTGCAGAATCTCTTCCAAAACCCAGCCAGTGAAGGTACCCAAACCAAAAACCAAACCCACTGTTATCGAGCTGACTCCAACTCTTATCAATGAACCCTGTATAGGGTTTCTAAGACTGTACGTTTTTACAGGAGCAGACAGCCTCATTTTTCTCCCTCAAAGAAACTGATGGGCTTGAATCACCAACCTTGGGGTTAACATAGCAATGCTTATCCCACATCACTACCAGCGTTCTTTAGTGGAAATATCAGTTTTTTCTGAAGGTTTGAATAAGATAAGTGACTGAAAACAAGCAGTTCTGGTCCCCACCAACAAAGAAGTGCTGTGCTCCTTCAATGCCCCAGCAGACGCCTGATGGTTTACCCTCTGCACAGGATGAACTAAAGACTCCAGACTAGGGCAACCTGGGTGCCACTGAAGATAAGAAAGTAATACCATTTAGGGTGATTAAGAGAAAGTCTCCATACTAAGCAAAAGTCCCTAGTCTCTTCCCAAGGTAAAGTTTACAGGATGACAACAACCAGGCTTATACCACCTAAGAAGAAACCTGGAGATCTCTATACTCTTAACTATAATCCAATGAAATGGAGAGACCCACTGCTCTCTATAGCTGTGAGTCTCAGAACATGGTCCTCAACCCACAAGTAAGATCCCCAGGGAACTTGCCAGAAATTTAACTGTTAGGCACATGCCAAACCTACTGAATCAGAATTCTGGGACAGGAGTCAACAACCAGTGTTGTTTTTTAAGGTTGCAATTAAAGAAATAATAATTTTTATTGTTGTGGAAAATATACACAGCAGTATATTTAACTACACAAAGTTCTGATATGGAGCTACAAGTTAATGCACTGGATAGCAATGTTGGTTTGAACTGCAAGGTGAGCAGCAGTTCCAGCTCACCAGAGACTATGAGTTGGAACCGACTCGAAGACACTTAACAACACATAAAATTCTGAGTCCTGGCGTGGCACTGTAGTTGATAAGCACTGGACTGGTAACCACAAGGTTGACAGTACAAACACACCAGCAGCTCCTTGGAAACCCTATACAGGGTTGCTATAAGTCAGAACCAACTCGATGACACTAAACAACAGCATGTACAGTTCAGTGATATTGAACATTCTTCAAGTTATACAACCATTCTAAACCTCCTTTTCAGAACTGTTCCTCCCCTATTAACATAAACTCACTACCCCCAAATTTCCAATCTAACTTTTCTGAGTTGTCAGTTTATAAGCGCCCTGGTGGGTCAGTGGTTTAGTGCTCAGCTGCTAACCTGAAAGGTCATCAGTTCTAACCCACTGGGAGAAAAAAATGATAGTGTGCTTCCCTAAAGATATTGTTATTAAATGTCATCGAATCGATTCCAACTATAGCAACCCTGTACAGGGTTTCCAAGGAGCAGTTGGTGGATTTGAACTGTCGACCTTGTGATTGACAGTCCAGTGCTTAACTTAGAGCACCACACCCGATGTACAGCCTTGGAAACTCCCAAAGTTCTAGTTTTGTCCTACCAGTTCACAATGGATTGGAATCACCTTATCATCAATGGGTTTGGTTTCATTTTGGTTGTAAATTTGATGCCATATTGATAGTTTTTTAAAAAAGCATAATGCTCAAGGTAGACATTAATTTACTAATTATGCTAAATGTTTCTTTAAAGAAGACTTCAGGTGATATTTTTGGCTTAAAGTTTACGTATTATCTCAGGATAATAGTTTCAGGGGGTTCATCCAATCTCATTGGCTGCTGAAAGTCTATAACCAGAGTTTTAATAAGCTGAATAAATAATCATATGAATCTAGTGCTCATTAAAATTTGGGAATCACTGTCCAACATAAGAGGCACACTAGTCAGTAAGACCACCTCATACCAAGAAGTTTCCAACCAGTTTTTTCGTGCCTCTCTGTTTATGTGGAAAACAGTCTGAAATCAACTGAAATTTGAGAAAAGACTATAGTGAGAAAGAAAGACCAACACAGATTCCAAACAGCAGCTCGGTGAAGGAAAGTCACATAAGGGTTGCTTAGCCTCTCGCTGGGCACCATCATCACATTGCTACTATATTCTCTTTGATCCTGTCTAACTCTAGCCTATGACTTTATCCCACATTGTTAAAATTAATATAGCAAATGAAAATGAAAGTCTTGGTCAGAATTACCTGTGATACTTTACTTGTCCCTTTGAATGAACAACAACAAAAAAAAACATTTTAATGGAAAAATCATAAAAGTATTTTTCAGTGAGAGGTTTCCTTTATTCTGTAATTTCATTAAATGCACAGTCAAAACACATGATTCTAATTTACACAAAGTACCTATGATCTTCAGTTTTGGCATGCCTTCCCATGTGGCCTCTTTGAGTCCCATATACTTTCTCTAGCTCATGCCCAGAGCCCAAACCTGAATTCAAACCTACTATCTGATCCTTTGGCGACTCTTTTAAAATGCGGATTATGATTCAATGTATCTGGGATGGAAAGGCAAATCCTGAGCAGGGAGTCAAGCAGGAACGCAAAGGTTTGAAGGCAGTCCTGCTCTTCTCATCCCCAGTATTACTGCCATAACCACACGGTTCTTCTACTATACATCTCTAGCAGCTCAACAGCTTCCACTAATCACAAAAGCTCTCATTTACTTCCTTCTTCTGCCTCCTTTATTCTTTAGCCAGTTCATTTTCCTCAATCCCTTTGGTTGTCACCTCTGGCCTTATAAGATCCTTTTTCCTCTCAGACCACTTACTCCTCTCTTGGAAAAAGAACTCCTTCAGAGAGGTTTATGTCTGTGAAAAACATTACAATATGCCAGGTATTATGCAAAGAATCGAGTCTGGGTGTGGCGCTGTATGCTAAGCACTGAATTGCTAACTGCAAGGTTGGTTCAAACCCACCAGCCCCTACTTAGAAACTTAACAACATGCAAAGAATACCACAAACATTCTTATCTAATCTTCATAATAATACTGAGAATTAAAAGGAGCTCTGTAGTGCAGTGGTTACAAGTCAGGCTGCTAACCTCAAGGTCAACAGTTCAAAACTGCCAGCTGCTCTGCAGAAAAAGATGAGGCTTTCAGTTTCCATAAAGATTTACAGCCTTGGAAACCCTATACAGGTTGTCTGTGAGTCAGAACCAACTCCACAGCACACCACCATCACCACCACTGAGAATTAAAAATCTACCCTATTTGGAAGCACATTTGGAAACTGTTGTTTAGAGAGATTTAATTACTTGTCCAACGTTACAACTAAGATTTTAATCCAAATCCTTCTGTCTCTTTTATTCTGTCTCCAAACTCATGTCTTAGCTATTTGTATTGCCTCCAGAGATAAGGCTCAAATACGTGGACGGAAAGTTTCTCTAACCCTGCACAAAGGTTGTTTTTTGCTAGTCTGTTTGTTTCTAAAACAAAACAGATTAAGGGGTTCTCCACAGATGTTTTCCAGCCAAAGCAGAGCAAAGGCACAGGCTCACAGCAGCCAGCATCTCCTCACCTGGAGGGCTCCACATGGCTTGGCAGAGGAGCAACACATGATGCCTCTCCAGCAGGAACGGATGCGAAGCACAGAAGGGATACTGGCTCTTGAGGCCAGAATGTTAGTGGGGTACAGGCAGTATTCCTCTCCTATTGATGTCAGCGTCCCTGCCTCCATACAGTCCATCAACCTTTAGGGGCAGGGAGGGAGAGGAAGACTCCTAGTGTGGGGCAGAACAGCTGCCAACCTCAAAGGATTTCCAGATCAGATTTTTTTTTAACTCTTAAGAGACAAGGTAATAATACCAAACTCAAGGGCAAGCAAGACTGCTAAGGAAAAGCCAGCGCCTCTACAGTAACACAACCAACTTCAAAGGTCACAAAAACATGTTTATGAAAAAAAGATGCTTTCATAAAAGCCATCAGAATGCAGTCAGCCACCGCCCCTTCTTTCCTTTTGCAAATTCATTTTCCCTGCTTTGATGACAGAATAGGGGGACGGACGCCCCACTGTCTCCCATTCCAAGGGCCTAAGTCGCGCACCTCCTCGCACGCCTTCCAAGGGCTGAGGAACTGTCCCTCACGCCCTCTTCGCCTGAGCTAATTCTCCTCTTTCCCTACCCCCCACTAGGAATCTCCCTACCCATGAACTTGGTTCTCTCTCTCCAACCTTCCCATCCCAAACCTCACTCCATTCAACCTCTCCCCCACTGCACCCCTCCCATTTCCCCATTCGGCTGTACTTCCCTCAGCTCCGTGCCTCCCAATCCCCAGTACCTTGAGCGTCACGTCGCACAGCTTGCCCTGCCGCCGGATCTCCTCCATGACGCCGTAGCCGCGACTAGGCAACTCGGACACCGAGAAGTGCACCAGATCCTCCAGCTCCTCCGCTCCGTCCTCCACCATCTTCCCCCGCCGCCTCGACTGCGCAAGCCTGGCCAGCCGGCTCGAAACTAAACAAGGCGGGGCGAAGGCGTGCGCCGGCAGCAGCTCGGAGCACGGGGCCGGAACCGGACGGGCCTGTGCGGCCGCCGTAGTCAAACTCCTCTGCACCGGAAGCCCTGCCGCCCCGCTTCCTGGTTTAAAAGCAGTATTCTTTCCCTCGTTACCCCAATCCTTGCTTCTCACTTGCAACTGCCTCAGTTTTCCTGGATCAATCGGTGCCATCTCCCGTCTTCCGACTCGGCCCTGCCCTCATCTGTATCCTTGGCCAAAGAACGCCGACTTCATTTCCGCCACCACACAAGACTTCCGAGATCCCCGGAAGCGGCGCGTTGCCATGGCGACAATGTACACAGCCTATTAGACGCGCGTGGGGCGTCCAGGTCGCTGACCAGGGTTCGGCTGCTGCTGCTGCCTCTGTCATCCTCCTGCCTCGCGAGTGGTGAGCAAGGGCCGCGCGCCGCTGGGTACTGGGGAGACTGGAAGTCCGAAGGGGCACGAGCCCGCGTAGTGAATAGCGGCTGGGCTCCGAACGTCGCTCCTTCCCAGAATCCCTGGACTTGACTCGCTTATTTATGAAGCGGGGGCAAACTACGCGGCATCTCCGGGGTATCTTCAGCCTGACTGTGGCTTGGGGTGTTTGAAACGTTCCCTTGGCCTCACGAGGGTCCCATACCGCTCCTGAGACACAGGGGGCGTGAGGTGGGAAACTAGAGGTCATCTGGGTTTCTGTATTCGCCAGCTTTCAAACTGGAGGGAACTTCGGGATCGCCAGTACGAATCCGATTTACAGAGGAGGAAACCACTGCGGAGAAAGACGGGAATGGGGTCAAGCTCCACTGCAGAGCGGCTCCTAGACAGGGATCTGGTACGTTGGTAAGAGAGAGAAGTAACGCTGGCTCTGCCTGTATTTTTGACTGTGATGAGCGCAGAACTGGTTAAGGTTCGACCCTACTTCTAGGTTCAGTTGCTGTCGCCACCTTGGTAGCTTGATAAAGGTGCCTGATAAGGGACCTGGCCTGGGCAGCAGTTTCTGGTGGAGTGCTGAAACGGAGAACCCACCTGGTGCCTACCACTTGAGCCATCAGTCACGGAGCCGTTAATGAGCCGTTAATGCTGGTTGATAACTTTGTTCATTCTCACCCCCAAAACAAGGAAACGGAGAGCCTTGCAGAACAGAGGACTCATTAACCATTCAGAGACTGTCTTTTCCACACCAGAAATACTTAAGTGTTGTACCCACCAGAGAGGGATGTACCTACAAGGTTCTGAGGGGTATGAACAGTGCTGAAAAGGGGAATGTGGTGAGGAGCTGATGAAGGCTTCTTGCAAGTGGAAGGTAGAAACCAAGTGTCTTCCTGGAAGGGCTATAGACCCTGGGGTTGGTTGTGATCTGGGAAGGAAGTCGTTTTATGCTCCTTGGGATAATCTAGAAGTGAAAATAAATCACTCTTTCAGTAGTTACCGAAGATGGACCCACAAATGGAGATTCATCAACCCTCTGACTTCCAGCCATGACGGTCACCACCTACCATCATATCTTGAGCACCTGCTTGGTTCCAGGCACAGTTCTGGATGTTGTGGGGGGCTTCAAACAAGAAAAAGGGCACAGTCCTTGCCCTCAAGCAGCTTGTAATTTAACTTGGGATCTGAAACTCATTCAAATGAAGCGACGTAAGAACAGTAACAAGCGGTATTTCAGTAAGTGCAAGATGGCATGGGGTCCCCAAATATCTGGTTGTTGAGGATCTGCTATAGCCAACTGACTGGCACGGTATGCTTAATAGGGAAGTGCAGAGGGATGGAGGCAACTGCATGCGCATGTGGCAAAATTCAGGGCAGTAGAAGGACAGTGAATGGTGATGCTTCAAACTGGCTTTTGCTACCCTTGTGCTGTTGGTGGGCAGGGGCTGCTGGGAGGGAGGGTACCCAACTCCAGAGTTTCCCTACTTCTTCAGGGAAAACACCCAGGGCAGCAAAAAGGTGAGGCCTCAGGGTTGATATGGGTTGATGTGTAGTGCTTGAGAGTAAACATTTCTTTGAGCCAATACACTTCTCTTCATTCTTAAATTCCCAACAGCTTTGATTAAAGCAAGCTCTTCTCTTTCGTTTCCTCATATGAGCATGTGTGTTAGAATTGTTTGTGGCTTTTTATTTCTTGTTTACCTCATATACTTTTCAGATTCATTTTCTAAAAATTAAAAAGTCTCAATGACCCTTAGTGGCTAGGAAGAGACTTTGGTGAAAGAATTATTTGATGAATATATGAAGCATACTCACACTGTACAATAGGTAAATATGTAAGTGTTGTGTTTGCTTATTTGATTTGCTGCTCAGAGGGCTAATAGAAGGAATTTGAGTAAAACTATAGTTTTCTTTTGTCTACATAATTAAAACTGTGACCTGTGTATTTAACTTGCTTATCTAGAGATACATAATGCCACTTGATTGTAGTGGTGCTGTAGAGTAGACACTAGACTGAAAAGTCAGTTTGGACTACAAGGTCAGTGGTTCAAACTCACCAGCCGCTCCTCGGAAATCCTATATACAGAGTCACTATGTGTCGGAATCGACTCAATGGCACTTAACCACAACAACAACAATATGATTTTAAGTGGAAAGCAAGTGGTCACCACAAGTTGTTTCTGAAAATGTGAAAGGACATTAATATTTTGAAAATCAGGAATTATCTTTGGTAATACTTATTGAACTTCTCTAACATAACACACGTAGAATGTTAGCATTAAAAATATTTAATGTGCTTCTCTAAAAAATCAGCAAAAAACTAATTAGAGGAGGAATTTTTGTAATGTATGACTTTTTTTTTTTTAACCGTGAAGGTCAGGAAAATTAGCTCCCTGTGTCTTATGTTTCTCTAATGCTCATAAATTCAGCAAATTCCTTTGCTGGCTATCTTTTCCTAGAGTGTTTTGAAGAGGATTCAACTCCTATATCCTGCCCCCAGAGAAGTACAAGTTATTTTAGGGGCAGAGTCCTCACTTCTTAACACTATGCAGGGTTGTTATAAGTTGGAACCGACTGGACAGCTCTTAACAACAACAAATAAAAATATATGTATTAAACTTTTTTGAATGAAGGTTTACAGAGCAGATCATAAGCTTTACATTTAGCAAATCATACGCTTCATTTCACCTCCGTTGTAATGCCCTCGTTTGACATCACTTATCCCACATCCTCCCTATGTTTCTTATTTCCATTCCTTCTTCTTTCCCCACCCTTCTAAATTTGGCCCTTTTGATCTCAAATGGCTGACCATTTTATGGTGTGCAAACATCACTAGTGTTGGTGTTCTCCCTATATACCTATGTATTGCTTAGCTAAAAGCTGAGTCACTGGTGTGAGTTCAGTTCCAGACCTGAAGGGTGACTTGACCAAGGGTCATACTCTTAGGGTTCCTCCAGTCTCTATCTGACCAACATGCCTGGTCTTTTTTTTTTTACTATTCTGAGTTTTGTTCCATATTTTCTCTCACTTTTTCTAGGAACTTCTGGTGTGATCCCTTTCATAGCAGTCGGTAGTGGTGTTGTAGTTCTTCTGGTCTCAGAGCTGTGGACACTGATCTTCATGTGGCCCATTAGACGAATTGTTTCCGGGTGTCTTCAGTTTTTATCACTGTTTCTTTCTTTCAGACAGGGAGAGACCAGTAATTGTGCCTTAGATGGCCATTCCTCATTTCTTGTTGAACCACTCCAACCCCAACAGGGAAATTGAAAGACAAGTCTCTGGTACATCATACATCCTGACTCTTGGGTCTTTTCTCCATTCAAATTCTGTTTTGTACATTGTGGAGCACTGATGCTAAGTGGTCCTGGGTTAATGCGTCAGACTGCATAGCCATTTGAACTGCAAGGTCTGTGGTTAGCTCACCAGCTGCTCCTTGGAAACCCTATACTGGGTCGCTATGGGTCGGAATCGACTCGATGGCACTTAACAACAAACAACAACAAATGCTAAGTGGTGTTTGTTGTATTGTTGTTAAGTGCTATCAAGTCATATCTGACTCATAGCAACCCTGTATAGGGTTTCCAAGAAGTGGCTAGTGAGTTTGAACCACCAACCTTCTGGTTCAAACTGACCTTGTGGTCGAGTGCTTATCCTATAGCACCTCACCTGTAGGACTCAAAATGGTGTTTAGCATTTCTTTATTCTCATGGTTCTCTAAAAGTGACAATGAAATTTGAGAGCCTAGTCTCAGGATAAACGTTAAAAGTACAAAAACAAAACCTAAAATGTTAGCTGGATCTTAGAAAGGACACTTTATTTATATGTAAAAGTAGAAATTTTAGAACAGCTTAAAATTGTATTATATGAATTTGCCCAAAGTTTTGACTAATACATTTATTTAGTATATTTATCAGAACTTTATCTTGTTTTCTAGTATGACTTAACTAGATTCGATGCAGTTAATGATGATTACAGATATATTTTTTGCGTTAGCTGGCTTTTGAACTATTGGCATTTTTCTCTCAGTATTTCATCTTTGGCATCATGTAAAAAGATACCTGAAAAGTTGATTACGTTTTAAGTTATCCATAAAACAATTTAAATTGGTACAATTACCATCTCTATTTAATCATTCTTTTTGACTCTTTGTCAATGGTAGGACCTAAATTTGTTGTCTAATTAGAATTAAATATTTTTAGACAAGCACTACCAAAAGAAGGTCTTCTGTGATTTGACCAATGGGGTTAACATCCAATAAAAGAAAAAATTTTTTAGTTATCACTCGGAGAGTGGTAATGCAATTCAGGTTTTTAAAAATATTTATAAAATATTTTAGTTAGAAAGGGTCGTCTTAGAGATCAATTAACATTCAGTTCAGTGCAAAAATCCCATTTGTAGGTGTTTATGGTTTCGCCGTAAACAGATCTTTTCCGTTAAGGGACAACTCGCAATATTAGAAAAGTAATTTAATTTAATCTGCCTCCCTGTGACTTTTATCTAGAAGCATTCATCCTATATATGAAGCCACACAATTATCATGTGTAATAAAATACCATGCTTTATTATGTATGGTGATTATTTATAATAGTATAAATGAGGGAAGACAAATGTTTTATAATGCCACAAGCATCGAATTAGTAAATAATTTGCTCCTAGGGGAAATATGAGTTTAGGTTCCTGCGAGCCTCTGGTCTCTGGTCACATTTTCATCAACCGATCAATAGATTGCCTTATCTAAAGCATCGACTTTCTTCATAAGACGAATCACAGCTTTCTTACACCTAGGAACTCTAGACAGTGTTATGAATGTTGTTAAGTGCTGTCAAGTTGGTTCTGAATCATAACAGTCCTGCCTAGGGTTTCTGAGGCTTTTTTTTTTTTTTTAATCTTTTTCAGGAGCAGAAAGCCTCATCTATGATTGTTGTTGTTGTTAAGTGCTGTCAAGTCTATTCTGACCCATAGCAACCCTGTATGGGTTTCGAGGAGCGGCTGGTGAGCTTGAACCACCAGCCTTGCAGTTCCAATGACTGTGAAGTCTGACGCATTAGCACACAGCGCCTACACCAGGACTCCCATCTATGATTATTTAAAATAATCACTAAGAAAAAGCACAAAAATGCAAAAACAAAACCAAACAAAGAAAAAACAAAGCATGGCACTAAATAGACTATAAAAAGGACACATAATTTCCTTAACTTTCTTCATAAATTCATCACATTTATGAGAACTAAAGGCAAAGTATCTATCACCTTGTTTGACTCCTATTGGGAATTTATCAGGCAACTCAAATTTTTTGCTGCTTGGTGGGTATCTGTAAATAACTACAAAACAGTCACAAGTAATGATTTGGGGTTACAAAATCTTAGCAAGTAGGTGAATTCACAAATATGGTATCCATAAGTAATGGGGATTGATTGTGTGTGTTTGCCTGAAGACAAATGATGGGAACATAGATAGTTTTGGGGCTTGACTGGTCTTTTTTTCAATAGTACAGCAGAAAAGAAAGACTATTTGATTCCCTAATCAAATACAAGATTAAATACTAACCAAATATTAGATTAAATACTAGTATTAAATATTCTTGAGTCCTGGTGTAGATCTGTAGGATAATTACTGGACTATTAAACGCAAGGTCAATGGTTCAAACCCAGCAGCCACTCCTTGGAATCCCTATATAGGGTGGCTATGAGTCAGGACCAACCAATGACATTTAGCAACAACACCACTAAATACTCTAGAAGATACATTTCTGATCTCTTGAGGGTAATAGAGGAAGAGGTTGCCATGTCTTGTCTTAAGTAAGGCATGTTAATGAGGAAAAGAAAGTAAGTTTTAATGCTTTTTCCATATACCACGCAGTCCTGGTATATCACTGTGGGTTAATGCACTGGACTGTAAGGTCGGTTTGAACCACAGGGTGAGTGGTTCAAGCTCACCACGCTGCTCCTCAGAAACTATACAGGGTTGCTATGAGTTGGAACCAACTCAACAGTACTTAACAACAACAACATAGTCAGTGCTGTACAGGAAAATACAAGGAATGAGGCAAAACATAAGTGGACCCATCTTAGAACATTATGGAAATCTCTGAAGAGGACATAAGTTTATGCTTTGTAGTCTGATCTCTTCGGGATCATTAATGAAAAACAGTGAAGCAACCTGTGAAGTAGGATCAAATCAAAAACCAAACCCACTGCTGTCAAGACCATTCCAACTCATAGCCACCCTATAGGGCAGAGTAGAACTGTTCCATAGGATTTCTGAATGTATAAGTCTTTATAGAAGGAGTCCTCATGGCTCAGAGGGTTAAGAATCTGGGCTGGTAACAGAAAGGTCAGTGGTTCAAACTCAGCAGCCACTCTGCAGGAGAAAGATAACACAGTCTGAAGATTTACAGCCTTAGAAACCCTATGTGACAGTTCTATATCCTGTAGGGTTACTTTAAGTCGGAATCCACTTGGTGGCAGCGGGTTTAAAATTTTCAGGACAGTAGGCTGCTTCATCATTCTCTCTCAGAGTGGCCGGTGAGTTTGAACCACCAACTTCTTGGTTACCAGTCCAATGCTTAATCCATGGTGCCACCAAGGCTCCTTGTTCTTTGAGTTGTTTTTGTTAAGTGACGGTGAGTTAGCTCCAACTCATAACAACCCTGTATAGGGTTTCCACGAAGTGGCTGGTGACTTTGAACTATTGACCTTGTGGTTCTTACCAACCTTGTGATCCAGTGCTTTATCCTACAACATCCTACACCAGGAATCCTGGTCTTCGAGTTATTGTTGTTAAAGTGCCGTCAAGTCAGTTCTGACTAATAGCAACCTTGTGTAGCGTTTCTGAAGGAGCTCTGGTAGAGTAGTGGTTACAAATCGGGCTGATAACCTCAGGATCAGCAGTTGGAAACTACCAGCTGTTCCACTGGAGTCTTTCTGCTTCCGTAGATTTACAGCCTCAGAAACCCTGTACAGGGTCGCTATGAGTCGCACCTGACTCCACGGCACGTAACAACAACAACATAGGATTTTGAAGAGCAGCTGGTGAGCTTGAACTACTGACCTTGAGGTTCAAACCAACTTTGCAGTCCAGCACATTAACCTACAAGGCCACTGAAATGCCAAAGAGACCAAAAAAAGCCTGGTCTAGGATAGGAACAAAAGAACTACATGTCACTCTTCTGATCTTAATGAGCCACACCTCCCCTTCTAATTGGTTGATGATGACAATGATTACAACTGAAAATTTTTATTGTTCTCTTTAGCTAGAATGGGTACTAGGAAAAAAGTCCATGCCTTCGTCCGCGTCAAACCTACAGATGACTTTGCTCATGAAATGATCAAATACGGAGATGATAAAAAAGTAAGTGCAATGCATTTGCCTTCACCTGTTGGATCCTCTCTCTGTCTCACCTTACAAGAGTGACTTTGTTTCCAAACAACATTTTAAGGGCCAACACAGAATTGGTACAGGTTCAGATAAACCCTAGCAAATTCAGATAGACTCTCGAATTCATCAAGTCCAAACCACACCCTCCTGTACAATGTTGTTGAGGAAGCTCATAAAGTTCCCATTTTGAGTTGTCTTTTTAGCTAATAAGTTTACCTTTAAACATAATTGAAGTTTTCAGAAGCTCGGCAAATCATTGCGGTGTCTGACCCTTAAATGTGCCATGTGTCTTTGCTCTCATGTCAACAATCACTGCGCTAATAGGAATTGTTACCTTTTTTTGCCCTGCCCACCATGTAAATCAAATGTCTAGGGATATTAGTCTCGCTCATATGATCCAAGAGTAAATAGACAAAGGTTTACAAAACAG